TAAATTTGGAGGGTCTTTGTCACATCCACCGTTAAAATTGGACTTTAAAACAATACAAATATAATTATTATTCTTTTAAAAATTAATATATGGGTTTCATGTCACGTCTCTTCCAATTACTTATAGCTCCTGCTGCTAAATTCAGCAACATATCAGTTTCAGTGATTTATATTTGATTGCGTAGCTTACAATTTTGTGTCAATATCCTAAATTAATTAGTTAATCAGAACTACACAGAAGACTGAGACTGAGTTCAGAAACTCTATTTAAGGAAGAATTAGAAGAAACCATAATTTCTATATAAATCACTATCTATTTTCATTTCTACATATAACTTCAATTGATAATTTTTTCTATATAAATTACGATACATGCAACAGTTTGTTCTGGGCTTAGATATAAAATAAATTTAGCTTCTTTTTCGACTTACTACTATAGTATTATATGTTCTTAATTAACATTGTATATCGATTTTTGGATTATAAATTTTTACTTTTTACCAATAAAATAAAGGATGCATGTTTATGAAGTATGTGTGTGGTCTAAGCTATCTGAGATTTGGTGGATAATAAGTGATGTATATTGAATGAGGTCAAAGATCAACTATGAATAAGCTCATAATAATTTATATAAATAGAAAATAATTCTTTTTTATAAGTTCATTTTTTAATATTTAATTAGACTTTAATGTATTTTTGTAAGATTATATTATAGTGTATCAAAATTTATTTTATTGATTTTTTTTAGCTTATCAAATTTTATTGGACTATCCACAAATGTATAAATTTCACACTTGAAATATTTAGTCTAGTTCTCGATGTGAGGAGATGTGTTGAAAATTTCACATCAACTAAGAATAAACTCATAATAATATATATAAATAATGAATAATTCTCACGTTATAAATTAATTTTGATCATGTTTGAAAAGTTTAAAAATATTTTTAAAAATTTCTTTACTAAAAAATACTCCTTATTTCTAGTAGTGATGAAAAGTTATGTACATTGATATATGTGTTTTAAATGATTTTTAAAATTTGGCTGATTGATATAATTTTTAGGATAAAATAGTGATAAAACTATTTTACAATATTGAACAATGTTAACTAATAAAAAGTTATTATTAATATAATTTTTATGGTAATTATTATACAAATAAAAAAACTTATCATATATAATTTTATGATTATATGTGAATATAAAATTTCTTGAATATACGATTTTTTCTCTATTATTTTTAAGTCTAATATAGTATACGTAACATTTTAATACGAGAAAAAAAATATATGACAAATAATTAAATGTTTGAAATACTTAAATTATATTTTTTTTAATTAATAGAAAGTATAACTCATTTTATTGGACCAGTCTTTATAAAAGAATCTATAGATTTGTGTGTGAATTTATATAAAAAAAAATCATCATATAAATTCAAAAATAAATGTAATTATATAAAAAAATAATTGTAATTTTTTATTATATATTTATGCGTCTAGAAATAAAGGTGATACTCATTTTTAATCTTCATTTTTCTTAATTATTTATCTTTTAAGTGCTATAGGGTATCATTACTCCATTCAACTTCTCACTTTTATGATTGTTTTTTTTTCTTTTTCTATTCAATCTTTATTCTATTTTTTTTCTTTTAATTTGTATATGTACTTATTCCAAAAAAAAAAATATAAATTCAAATTTGGAATGTCTTTTTTCTAGTATAGAAAATAAATAATGTATAATATTTTAAATAAGATGCATGACTTGGAATATTGATTTCCTAAACAGCTATACCTATTAATTTATTAAATTATACCTAAATTGACTCTTCTTAATCTTGCACACAATAGTGAGAATTATTTTCATGAAGTTTGGATAAGTAGATTAAGAAGAAAAAAAAAAGTCAATTTCACTTTTAATACTCAAAAAGACTGAAGAGTTTTTTTTTAGGGAATGAATATTTGGCACCCTAAAGGTTATACAAAAGAATCAAATTACAAATCTAAAACATGCTTTAAAAAATCTAATGTTTCAATGTCACGTCGAATAAAACAAGATAAAAAAAATAAAAAGTTATATAATTGAGTTAGATAAATCTATTATATACTCTTTCTTGGTGTGAAAATAAATGTCCAACATCACATGTATATTTAAATATATTGGTTATAAACAACACATAACAAATATAATTATTCACGCAATACATATGCAACAGAGACAGATCTATGAGTAGGGTGGTAAAATAGGTCGTGGCTCGCAGGCCAGCTCGTTGGCTCACCAAAAATTGGCGAGTCGGACCTATTATTCTAACTCGTCAACCCGTTAAGCCCGTCAACCCACCAAGTCCGTCAACTCATCGATAATTTTTTTGTAGTTTTTTTAATGGTATGCGGGCTAGCTTACCGGCCTGCTAGCCCGCCTTTAAGTAGGGTGGACCAACATTCCCAGCCTATTTTTGAATGGCGGACCAATCCGCTCTGGCCCATTTTTTACCAACCATTAGCGGCCGGGCCAAAATGGATTGGGCTAGCCTGTTTTGTCACCCTTATCTACAAGAGCAAGCAAGGGCCCTGGACCCCTCTTTCAAAAATAAAAATCAACGTGTATATATATAATTATTTTATATTTTATTTATATCATATCATATTATAATATAAATATAATATGTTGGTTACAAAAAAAGGATAGCCCCTTTTGTACTTTTCTCTTATAGCTTTTACTTTTTACACTTTGTAATTTAATTTTTATTTAATATTTATTATTAAACTTTATTTCCTTCTGGCCCCCCTTTCATGGATTTCTGGATCCGTCCCTGTTCCAATGCTTGTATATTTAGGACTAGTTTAGCTCTCAACTCTCATATAAGAATAATATAGGAACACATGCAATTAATGAATCACCATAGTGTCTAACACTAACACTTTAAACTAGGATAATATCCCTTGGTGGCTTGTCATAGTTATTGAGTTGAGTCTTAAGGTCAAGTTTCAAAGATCCTTAATGACCTTCCTAGTCGTTACTCATGCTTATATTCTTATCTCATTTCACGTCAAGGGTATAGAGAGTAGGGATTGTTTTATAGAACTTTCACACTTATAATGAACATCCTCATGCTTATCGTCACAAATATTATTACCGTTAGTTGTTCTCTCCTTGAGTGAGAACATGGTTTGGTTTAGTGTTAATTTTATTGAAACTCTTTGTGGCTCTCATGCTATCAATAACATGGACACACTTAATGTCAACCTATGGGTTACTTTACATGACTTGTGTTCTTAACATGAGGACTATCACCCTAAAAAATCTCTAGTGCTCTTTGTGGATATCACACTCAGGGAGAATTTTGTCTCACATAACACTAAAGGATCAAAACTCTCTAAGATTTTCATGTTCAATGAAAGTGTCCCTACTCTTAATGGAGACTCTTGTATAATTTGTATTCCAAAATTCCTCAAAATAAATCAAGTATCAAATTATGTAATAATCTCTTTCTCAACAACTCTAAATACACAAATTTCATAAAACAACCAACCAAATATTTTAATAATTAAGATAGCAAATAAGATGATGTAGGATATATTTTTAACAAAATGCAATCATTTAAAACAAAGTTATTGGATTGAGAATCAATCCTAACTTCCTGCATTTCATAATCAAATCCATGAATGGTATTGCTCACTTTTTCATTACCTAAAAAAAACTCATGTAATAACAAAGGTGAAACATCAATTTACTCTTGAAGTTTTTAACTCTTTTGTGATGGTGAAACAACAACACAATAATAACACAGAGCAACTCAAACAGTTATCGCAGCAGAAATAAATTTCCCAAACTTGCAAGAATCTGTGAGGAGCAACAACCAATGAACAACAATAATAAATCACCAAAAAATCACACACAAAGACACCAAGATTTTTAACGTGGAAAACCCCTCAAAGCAAGGGTAAAAACCACGAGTCGTCCAGACCAAAAAATAACTTCACTATGATCAACAAAGATTACAAAAGAGTCTCAATCAACTGTACAAAATAGTGCTAACACCTGTCGCAACCCGAAAATTTCTAATCTCGCGACTAATGGTTTAGACATCCTTTTAAAAATCTCATCAATTAAGGAATGCCCGGACGCTAGAATAATCCTTAATTAATGGTTTTGAAAAATGAGTTCATGGAGTCGCCACCAATGTTTTACTCAAAACATTGGAAAAAGAAAAGGCTTTTAAAAAAATTTAAAAAAGAAATTCAAGAATATAATCTGCATATAAAATTATTGCATAAAAGAGAAATTTTTATTTTGTCTCTTTTCTTATAAGAGTATTTGTTAATTATTCCATTATTTTATTTTAGACTAATTTTAAATTATTAGCTGCACATTTTATTTCTATTTAAAAATTCGAAGTGGGTTTGTTTGTTGCAGTGATAATAAAGAAGAAGTGATTTTTGTGTCTGCTGAGTTATATTGTAAATTATTTAAAACTTTTTTATTTGAATTAGAGTTTAAAATAATAATATTATAATATCTGTGGTGGAAGAGAAAAGAAGGAGGGCAGTAGAGAATGATATTTTAGGATGGTGGCGTATGCCTAAGCGTGTCTCCCGCCAGGGATCCAAGGCACCACGTGTCAGGCATGGAGGCTGCAGGGGTTGCCACCGTCGGATGGCATCTGACGGATTCAAAGACGTTGGCGATCCACCTCACGCGGCGAGGAGGCGGAGCAAGGCGACAAATGTCTCCGTACTCACTCCCCCTAACGCCGTTAGCGTAAACGCCGCCTCTTCGCTAGTGTCAGGTCCACGTGTCGCAATTATTAATGTTGACGGTGGGCCCCGCCACCACGCTCTCTCTCGCGGCTGGGGCGGCGCGGCTCATCAACAATCAACAATCAACAATCAACAATAAACATAGTGCAGTCAACGCACCTCGTTGACCACGCCAAATGTTTTAGGGGACACACACGCGCCTCACTTTCTCCTTCTCTGCCCATAAACCGCTTCGGGGGAGCGTGCCAATTAACACGCACGCACGCACACCCTCTCTCTCTCTCTCTCTCTCCATTTCGCCCTATAAAACCACTCCTACTTGCTTTCTTCCCCTCAGACATTGTCTCTCTCTTTTTCTCTTCCACCTTCACAAAGATTTTTAATTACAACAACACCAATGGCTCCAAGAGACAACAGACCCACTGCGCTTGCTGGGCCCGCCCCAGGCCCAACACCGCCCCACGCCACCGCCAAAGAGATCCGCTACAGAGGCGTCAGGAAACGCCCCTGGGGACGCTACGCCGCCGAGATCCGCGACCCGGGCAAGAAAACACGTGTCTGGCTCGGCACCTTCGACACCGCCGAGGAAGCTGCGCGCGCCTACGACACCGCCGCGCGTCAGTTTCGCGGCGCCAAGGCCAAGACCAATTTCCCCACTCCTTCCGAACTCGTTAACAACGCGCGTAGTCCCAGCCAGAGCAGCACGCTCGACTCCTCCTCCTCCCCTCCGCCGCCGCTCGACCTCACCCTCACGCCGCTCTCCGCCGCCGCCGCCGCCCTCTCCTTCCCCGTCTCTCGTCCCGTCCTCTTCTTCGACGCCTTCGCCCGCGCCGAAAACGTGATGAACATCCCCCGCCGCGAGACCTGCGGGTTTGAGCGTCCGGCGGCGGAATTCCGCCGCGTCGATTCCGATTCTTCGTCCGCCGCTCAGCGGCGCGGACTCTTGGATCTCGACCTGAACGTTCCTCCCCTCCCGGAGGTTGCCTGATTCGTCGATCTGGTTTTTGGTTTCTCAATTTTTCGCGCTTTTTGAAGCATCTCGTAGTGCTACCATTTTGGAAGAGGGAAAAAAAATGGAATCTCCAGTGAGTAGTTGACACGATGCTCGGATTGGTTGAAGATAATTAGATAACCGGCACGTTATGTAAATATGCTTATAACCGAAAGCAAACGTGGTTTTTGCTTTTTCAGTGTTTTTTGCAACTGAGAACTTATTCAGAGTATCTCCCGTTGTTTCTGCAATTTCCTCAAAATTAAATATATAAATACTTACTGGCATTTCTATCTATCATGTTCATTTTAGGGTTCTGGTTTCTGTATAGACAATCTGTATAATATGTGACATTATCCATTTATTTGTGCGCAAGCTTAGATAGATGTAGTTTTGTTTGATGAACATTTGGCTTTGTTTTTTTTTTTTTTTTCTTTCCATGGAATGCGTTGTTGGATTTCGTTGGTTGAGATCTGACAGACATGTCGCCGGCATTGTTGCGCGTTTGATTAGGTTTTTGTCGTGGGGGCCTCTCTCTTCCGTATGTTACTTGATTGGTTTGTTCTTTTTACACATTCGGATATGCAAGCGTTGCTGTTAAGTATCAACTACGAACCATATATAAAATGCCTTTGTACCAAAATTAATGAAAATAGAAATAAAGAAAGAAAACCCGTATTGCTTCCTAGTTCCTAGTGTCACCGCGGGACCTACTTGGTTGCAATTTTTTAAGGGAAAAGAAAATTGAGTCAGCGAGAGTTGAGTGAGTTTTAGGTGATTCTATTGGTGGGTAGCAATTGAATGGTGATTATATAGGGTGAATTGGAATGTGAAAGTAGAAAAAAAAGAATTGAGAAAAAGGGGCTTTTAGAGAGTGATGATGTTAAGAGGGTATTCTGGTGATTCGCGAAGGGGGTTTTGATTAAATAAATGGGCGCAGGCGGCACCGACGGCGAAAACGGTGCGTAGAAACTAGAAACTAGAAAGGAAGAGTGAATGAGGAGAGGGAGGTGGGTCCCACGTGGGCATTCCGTGTTGACTATGTGGCTGTCGGAGTTCATGTTGTCTTCACGTGATGTTTCTGCGCCCCCATCTTTCCTGTGTCTCCACCTTTTCCCACTCTTTCAAGTTCAACTCTCTCATGCCTCATCTACTTTCAAAGTAAATAAATAATATTTCAAACAATTTCCTTCTTGCTTCGATAACACATGTAATAATAATTAAAGAATAACGTAATACCCAACCAACTAACTATTAGACCTGTCAAAGTGTCCCGGTACATTCGGTTCAGCTTCAAAATGGGTCTCGTTAGATAAAATAAATTAAAAAATTATAATTAATCATAAAATTTAATCTCACCCTTTTTAAATTTGGCACACCCGAGTTCAGTCTATGGTCCACTTGACCTTACACTTCTTTATTATTCCAATTTACTAATGTCTCCCTTAACCAATTGATGTTTTATATATATATATGATTTTAATAATATTTTATTTTATTTTTTACATGAACATAAAATTAATAACATGAAATTGTTATATATTTATTTGTTTAAGTCTTCAATACAATTTAATATTAATGGATAATCATTTTAATGACAATTTTTTATTTTTTATTTTAATTATTTAAGATAATCTTTTTAGTTAAATTTAATGTTAATATATAATGTTTAATTTGATAATTTTTATTTTAGATTTGAAGCTATTTTAAGTTGAATTTTATTTTAAAATTTTTGTACCATATAATTATTCAACCAACCAAGTATATCGGCTTAAGACTTTTTATACTTTGATGCTCGAATTTGGAGGGTTGTGTACCATACAACTCTCCAAATGATCCATAAACTAATACTCTTTGCACTTTAGTGCACAAGTCTATAGGGTTGTATACTATTTGAATCTCCAGTCGATTGAACAATTCCACCATTTGATCGTTAATAGGTTTTCAACCAATTTCATTGAATAGTTAAAACTAGATAATCAGTGTTGTGACTTTCATTTAAGCTCGATTATAATTATAAATACGATTCACAGACTCATTAAAGGATATAAAGACAACATGTATTTTACGAGATCATCATTATAAGTAACTAATTTACTCCTTCAATACGACACCAATATATATAGAGGGTCAAAGGTTTAGAATAGGACATGTTACACTCATCAAATGGTTTGGACCTAGATGCTAACCAATTTCTAGTGGTCATCCTTCATATTAGAACAATATTAAGTTACAGTTTTTTTTATAAAAAAAATTAGGTAGGTCAATGAATCGACTTGTTCAACCACCAACCTATGATTAGTCAGATCGAGCTAAAAAAGTTTCAATGTTTAAGAAAGTGGTTTGGACCAATCCAACAACCCACTTAAAAAGTGAGTTGTAATGAATCAGACTAACCCGTTTTAATAGTCCTCTTAATAATCAATCATTTTTTGTTAAAATTAAAAATGAATTTCTTACTAGATTAAAATCAATCCTAATGCATCTCTTTATATATATATATATATATATATATAT